TTTTTTTTTTGATTTTTTTTCTTTGAAATTTAATAATTTAATTTTAAATGTGACTACCAGTCTTGAAACATTTTTGTTAATATCTTCTAAAAATTGTCTTATCTTCAAAAAAAGAATTTTTTTTTTCAAATAAAATTAAAACAATTTTTTAAAGCAGACTTATCTGTTTAGATAAAGATTACTTGTTATAACTGTAGCTTACCTTTGTAAACATTTGGTCAACCTTTTCTTTTTCCTTACTTTCAATAAAACTTACAACAGCAGTCAGTCAATCAGAAAACTTCACCTAAAATAATTTGGGTTTCTTTGTTTTTCTTTGTCATTCACTAATCCTATACTTATTGCAGACAAAAAATCTCATTTAAACAGAATAAAATAATATGTAATAATTTGATGTAAAAAAAATTTATTCAATTATGCAATAACTGTTACACTAAATTACTTTGAACTTTTTAAAATATGTAAATTATTTGCCTACAAGAAGTTATTTTAAAAAATAGAAACATAACTGTTTAAGAAAAAAAACATTTGTGAGCACATAACAGTTACATTGATAAAAAAAGACCAAAATAAGTTTTACTAGAATTCAGGAAAACTATCTGTAGGCTACTGTTTACACTAAAACAGTTCATATTTAGTCTATTATTGGGGGAACATAGATGTCAAAATAGATGAAACTGATAGTGTAAAATTAGAATAAAATCACTAAGTATATGTGACAGTAGTAAAGCAGCTTCAGTGAAGCAAAGATATTTGAAGCAGAAGAATTGGAACTGATGCTGTTGAAGTGCCGTATAGCAGAAGATGACAAACAGCACAATGAAGACGATGATCTGATCAGGGCAGATGACTTCTGTATCTATTAGCAGCAATCGTCTCAATCATTTTCTTTAATATTTCTTTTTTTTTTCCTTCCACTGTTTCTTCTGTCGTAACCTTCTGTTGTTTATAAAAACAAAAAAACAAAAAAAAACAAAAATTAATGTATGTATATATTAAAGCAAGCAAATAACCGGTCAAGTTTTGCGCTATAAATGGTCAACAGTCATAATATATACAGAAATAAAGAAAGAAGAAAAAAAAACCGGGTTTTTCTTCGTCTTCCGAATATTTTTGTAGCAAAAAAAAAAAAAGAAACAGCAAAAAAAAAATTTTTTTTTTATTTCTTCTGTTTTTCTTTTTTCACTTACTGTAAATAAAAATTTTCTCCAAGAACCATTGTCCGCATTCTGTTTTTCCTTATTGTAAAAACACTCAAATTAACCTGCCAATATCTCTGACACTGTCCACCTTTTTTTTTTTCAACCGTTCTTTGCAGTTTTTGAGTCTCTTATTCTTCCCATTTCTTTTTTTTTTTTCCTTACCTGTTGATTGCTGTTTTTTTTTTTTTCTTTTGCTGTTGTTACATTTTTTTAGCTGAAGTTTCAGCAATTAAAGTGTAAAAAGTTTTGAGCAGATAAAAAATTTGGAATAAAGAGATATGAGCATTATTGATCACACATATGTGACTACCATATATGATAAACTTGTTAAGTGTCAACAGGATTTTGGAAATCAAATTTCAATGATTAGATTACTGGTATCTTAGACGGAAAATATATACTGTCTGAAACAGCATCAAATTTGGCAATATAAGCACAGTGATTTTCTACTGATTTTATTCAACAACAGAAATTTTCAGATTTGTAAATATCATATTGTATCGCCATAATAATACTGCCAATCATAAGAAAAAAAGGGTCATTAATCAGTAACTGCCACCAAAGTGAAAAACTAATAAACAGTCTTGATGTAAAAGTTTGAAATTTTTACATAAAATTGAGCATTTTTGTCAGAAAAAAAACACTAATTCA